AAATTGGTCCACATAACCAATGATATGACAAATAAATAATAAGTGGGGTGAGTCTCACAACTTTTTGTCCCAACACAAGTCGTGTGTCAAGTTGAGCTACAATTTTCTTGTACTAACTGTTTGTCGACTCATTGAATTAACTCGCGAGCCAAAAATAGATGGGTAATTACGGTAAATTTAGTAAATTATTGATGTTACAAAAAATAAAAAAAAACACAAAGGATTAGTCCGGCCACTACCGTCTAATCCTCTCAGGCGGCAAATTAAAATTTCAATTTTCTTTTTTTTTTTTTTTTTTGAAAGAAAAATTCTTGATTTCAACCCAATTTTAAGCTTGTACATGGATTAATAACTTTTTCACCTAACTTTCAAGTTTTCTCAACTCTCATAGCTCTGTCTCTAATCGCTCTTTTTAACTTTCAAAACTCTTAATTTTGATTTTTTTTTGCTGTATTCGTAATTGTTTGATACTCTTATAGCACTTGGAAAAAGTCTTCACCTCCGATTATCTAATTCCATATATTCTTGTTTATTTAAATAATTTACGGCTAGCTCACCATCTTCGTCATTTAACGAAAATATTTACAAATTTTTGAAGCATTTTTGGAGATGAGACGAAAGGCTTTGTTGCTTTGCTGTTTTTGATAAAATTAAGGAAGAGTTAAATTTGTTTTTCTACATTATAAATGTAGTAATTATTTGGCCTTCGATTCAATTTGTTTTCTTCGAAGAAATTGCAACTTATGTTTATTAGCCATAAATATTGATGGTGATAATCTGACCCCGAAAAAGAAACTTAGGCCCTATTTTATTAAACCTTTTTTCATGGAATTGGAAATTAAATTCCAGCTTTTTCAAAAAATGTATGTTTGATTGACAAACTTTTCTAGGCTAATCATTTTTCATCTTCACAGCCACTCGCCTGACTTTCCTCAGAATTGGTGAAAACCAATTCTCACCATTTTTTTTTACCAAAATGGAAACAAATTTGATAACCAAGTGTAAAAAAAAAAAAAAATTCACTTTCATGAACTATTTTGATGCAAACGAAGGCCCAATAAATACTAAACTTTGATGAAAAAAATGATTTTTTAGAGAAAATTCTTTTTTTTTTTACTTTTTGGCAATGGAAACAAATTTTATAAACAATTGTGGAAAAAATTATCACTGTAATGGACAATTTTGATGCAAACGAAGGCCAAACGAATACAAATTTTAAAAATTTTTCAGATGAAAAATTATATCAATCAAACACACTTAATTAACAATTCCATGCAAAACAATTTTTAGACGATTACTTTCCCTAGAATTCATTTTCTTTCCATCCATTTTCCACCCTTCCAATCAAATGGACCATTTATTTGTGTTAAACACTTTGCATGGGATGAACTTAGTCGTCATGTTGCATAGTTAATGGCAGATACTTTGCAAGATTCTGATCTAATTAACAAAAGTTCAGTATATATTGTACTCGTTGTGCGGAAAACAATAAGACATTTGCAATAGTTTTTTTTTTTTTTTTTCCATTCATGAAGAGCTTTCGAATTTAATTGTTATGTTCAATGTTTACAATCGATGATAAGATAGGGCTCAAATATTGAACAGTCGACTATGTAATGTTGGGAGGGCAAAATATGTAATTCGTAGACATAAATGTCTGTTTTACCATAATTTTTTTAATGATCATGAAAAAATTATTGACTGATGATGACCGGACAATATCAAAGCCTGCTCTGAAAATTTTGAGGCCCCAAGCAATTAACGATTATAAGGCTCTATAAATTTTTTTTTTTTTGCAAGTATAGCAATATTCAAATATTTAAATATATGTATATATATAAATGAAGATTTTGTACAATCTAATAATAAAAACCATAAACATAAAAGTTGTAGAAATACAAGGTTTAGCGCCTATTTGAGCCTCATTTTTTGCCTAAGAATGCATTTTGAAATAATAAATTGATGGATAATGCGTAGTTAAAAATAAGGAAAATTTTTGAATTTACATATAATATTGATTTTTTGAAACATGTGTGGTTGAAAATAAGAAAAAAAATGTATTTCGAAAAGAATGTGGATCAAACAAGGGTTAAATTAAATTTTGTACAATCCAATAATAAAACCCTATACAGTGAAATCAATTTCCCTGATTTTTTTTTTTAAATAGAAAATCAACAAAGAGAAAAAAGTTAACTTGCACGTCATCAAAATCCAAACACAATAAAAAATATCTGTAGAAATTAAAGAAACAAAAGCAAGAGGGTCAATTAAAAGCTTACAGAAATGTTCTTTTCTGTTTTGATTTTTTTTTAAAAAATCTGATTATTTTGCAGGATCTTGTATTGGATTTTGCTGCAATTTTAAGTTGGATTTAACGGTCTTTTATGCCGTTTGGTAAATGCTGATTTTGAGCAAGTGAGCGTAATTTAGACGGATCTTGGGGTGGGTTTTGGGCTGAACTTTTTTTTAAGAGGCCCAAGGTGATTGTCTAGTTCACCTTGGGCCAGGGCCAGCCCTAGACAGTATGTACATTCATTTATAATCTTTTTAAACATTTTTCTTCTTCCATGCAATGTGAAACTGTTATCTCAATTCAAATTTTGTGTTACCTTGAGTAAAAAATATTTCTTTATTTATCAATAATTTTTATTTCACTGTTCGATCCACATCTTAAGTTACGTGGAGCTGAACATTGTTGGTAGTTATTTCAAAATAATTTAAACTTCATTTTTTAAACAAATATTTCGTATACACATGATAAAGTAATACGATTATGCAATTCGTAGTCCTTTGGGTTTTTTTTTTTCCAAGTTCTAAATGTATTATGATCATATGTTTTGAGCACCTACATGGGACGAAACATTTATCGGTGCTGACTTACTGAATTTACTTCAAATCATGGAACACATAACTGTTCTACTCTCCAATATTCCCCATGAAATATTCACATCACCCTCTATTATATTAATACTCGGAAACGTAAGGTTTTTGATGGAAAATCATATTGTAGATCGATATTTAACATGTGTCGATGACAATATTGCGAACTGAATAAAAATACATGTTTGTATATGCCATTGGCCTGTACAAGATGACCTTATGGTCTTTCCGCAAGCGTTTATGTATTGCAGTTGCAGACACACGAGGTAAGTAAATTTTATTTCTTCTATTTATACAATGTTATTGTATTTAGTTTAATTTATTAGCAAAACTTGCCCTCGAAATATTAATTCATGTCGAATTTTAACTTCACATACGTATTGTATAACTGATCGCAAGTTCGGATAAAGGATGAAGATTTTTACTTCTTCAAATTTCTTTTATCAAACACTTTCACAAAATTGATTTTTTCGTCTCTGTTTACTAAACGACTTTGGTACATACTAAAAAAACTATCAAAATCTTTTAAAAAACTATAAATTTTTTTAGAAAAACTATCAAGTGGCTTGACTCCGCCAAAGCGAGTTGGTGTGGCGAGTAGAGCTCGATTTTTTGGGATAAGTTGACTCGTGCTTGACTCACCTCAAAGCGAGCAGGAGTCAACTCATACGGTGGGCCTAACCAAACTTGAAGGTTGTTCGGCTGGACTCGACCTATCAAAACCCCTAATCCAATAATATCCGATCTTATATCTAACCTACTTAAAATCTCATCAGATGCACTACGGTTTGCGATTCGTTTAACATTTCAAATAACATACAAAATTAATTTATCGACAAAATAAGCAAAACCAAAAATTAAATAATTTGCAACGAATAATGTTCCAAGAATGAAGAACCCATGGAAGAGTCGATTATTTTGAAACTAGGGGTCCATGTCCAAGTCTGTTACATGGGCTTTCTGTTATATTGCAAAAAATATGCAAGTCACAATAAATCATCAGGAACATTTATTTCATTGTAGGTGCGTACACATTCGTCTAGTTGGAGCAGTATAACAGAACAATTAATCTCCAAGTATATGCTTCAGCAACAAGAAAAGTAGATTTTGATAAATGTCGGTGAAATGCACGATTGTAGAGTTGTTGAACTCATAAAATATTTGGTTAAAATTAATTTTTGATATTTACTTAAATATAATTCAAAATTTTAATCCCCGACCAAACAAGGGATAGTATAGAAGTATATACAAATATATATTTAGTAGTATGTTTATATTTATGAGTTGTATTATACTATTATGGGACCGTTAGTGGGTCCCACAGCTATCACTCATGTGAAAAGAAAGTCAAGCAATATGGCCCACCAACGATTGAATTCTTGATTAAAATTGGCACCACACAAGCCCTATATAATTAATAATCATTAAGTCTTTGTTTTAAGATCTTAAAATCTAATTACTCGTTTAGATTGAGAGTCGTTAAGTCTTTTGTTTTAAAATTTGTACAGAAGAAATAGAAATCAAAAAGTCATAATTTTTTGAATTCAAAATAGTATCTCAATTGATGCACTATCGCCAAAAATAAATAAAGTTAAAGCCACTCAAACAGAAAAAATTGACAGGATTTGGAATCAGATTGACGTGGCAAATTGTGATTCGTCCGTTTTTTTAAAAAAGTTTTTCACCTTCCAATGAATTCCCACCAAATGTGTCTGTCACCATTTTTCTGTCAATTTTGTCAGTTTGAATAGCATGGCTCAACAAATAAATACATGAGACACATGCTATCTATCTCTTTTCTCAAAGTCCATCATGCCTCGCTTCACGCAAAAATTGCATCGATAATAACGAATTTCATTGTACCTAGCAATGTAATATCGGTCAATATTGAGATTTAAAACTCATCTCTCTCTTTCTACATAGAAATGAGTTCGACTTTCTTGGACGTACCTAACACACAATTAATAAAAAATTAAGCCTTTGTTTGGTCCGGATTAAAATTTGGTCAATATAAACCACGTCTTTCATAGTTCACAACTTTTCAACCCCACATTTCAAAATTTTTTATCACAATCTACTAAAAATCTAATTTTAATTAGATTAAAAAAAAAAAACTCCCTCTAAATTGGGATTTCGTAACTTGAATTGACTGATATGCCCTTGGATGGAGGAGGAGTCCTACAGCCCTTTACTGATCTTGCATCAGACAACAAATATTGCTGCCTAAACATGGTAATGAAAGCTTCCACTCTCTGGTTCAATTCCTCCTTTGACAGCTGATTGCATTCCTTTTCCACCACATGATCTTCATCACTAGCTGAAATCAACGGCTCATATTGCATCTTCTTCTCTCTCTCAATCTTGACGAGTTTTTCTTCAGTTTCTTGAACAGTTTCATTTGATGGGCTTTGACTTTGAGAAGTACTAGAAGTGAAAAGAATGGCCAAGAGCAGGAGATTTAGAGAAAGGAACACCCACACGCGCCAACGCGAAACCACCGTGGCACATTCAAAGCAGGCCATGAGCGCCGCCGTTGCAGCGGCGAACCGGACTGCTTTTAGTTGATCTTCGCTCTTGTACTTCTTCTCTTCCTCCATTGATACACACACAAGAACCTACAGATATAAGATGGTGAAGAAAAGCTGAAAAGGGCCTCTTTTATAAGGAGTGAGTACATTGGGGCCTGTTCAATGGTGATTTGTAATGATCAGATGACAGGACTAATGAGTATGGGTAGGAGTGGACAATAAGACATTCTCATTCTGTCATTCTGATGGAGAACAATCAATGCAGTAACATTATCATTGCTACAAGTCTGGATTTTTAGATTTTAGTTTGTGTTGGTTTCTGTGTGCTTCTGGTGTAAGGCAGAAACGGCAATGATATGTCGAGCCGAGTTGAGTTGAGTGGCATAACTGGCCCGATTTGAGTCTGGTGTAGGCCATACAAAGACTGGTACTAGTGTTGTCATTGGGCCAAGCCGAGCTGGGTCGACCCTTTAAGCCACGAGCTCGGCTCGGGCTTATGGCTCGTGGAGAAACAAGCCATGAGCTCACGAGCCGAGCCGCTCGTGGCTCGTTTGCTCGTGGGCGAGCTCGGCTCGACCCACGAGCTCGCGAGCCGGCTCGGGCTCGTCAAATTTTTTTTAAAAATTTTTCTTAGGTTTTTTTTTTTTTAAATGTTTTTTTCACAAGTCCACGAGCGCTCACCTCTTAACGGCTCGGCTCGAGCTCGGGCTTGTGGGCATGACGGCTCGGCCCCTCGGCTCGATTGACATCTCTAACTGGGACGTTAGAAGAGACAGGTTATGATGTTTTTTAGGCTCTCGAGCTGGCAATAGATTTTCCAAAATCATGCCCTCATTTGATCTCATTTATTTTCAAAATATATTTTCCTCTCTTATTTTCGACCACATTTTCAATAAAATAATATTACATGCAAAAAAAAAAATTATTTATTTTTTAATCATACATTCTCCATCAATCTACTATTTTAAAATGTATTTCGTATAAAAAAAAATGGGGGCTAAAACATGCTTGTATTTTCTGAAAATTAGTCAATAAAAAATTAAAAAAATTGTCGACTGACAATTGGCTCGATTTGACTTAACCTAAATGCAAGTTTAGATAGGTAGTTTAGAGCATAGCATTCAAAAATATATAAGTTGTGGTTGATCTCTAAGTGTGGATTTTACATTATCTTGTACAATATATTGGTGCTGACCAAGGCATTATCCTCCTAACCAAGGCATTATCCTCCTAAATCCACTGATTTCGATGCTTGAATTTTACATTATATGAGAAGTGCTGATCGTTTAGTGATGAACTGATAACTAACTATGTTTGTGTATTCACGTGTTACCGATAATTATAAGTCATGCCTTTTGAATTTAAAAACACAAGTAATGATTTTTATCGTCATCAAGAGAGATGGTTGGACTTGCCTTTTATACGAGCCTCGTTTCTACCTTCGGGCTTTTACACTTCGCCCAGGGATTGATCTCGCATGATAAATTTCTTATTTTGACATCAACAATTGTGGAGTGTGTTCGAGTAATTACATTATTAGAAACAGTTAAATTGTGAATTAGTCAATTATAAATGCACATTTGCTCTGTGGAAACATAATTTTGTTTTTTCTTTCTTCAGTTTTAAATTTTAATTTTAATTTGTAATCATTCAATATTGTGAGACATCTCCGCATGCTTTTTGTCGGACTTCGAAAGGTGATTGAACAGAAACATGTCGGGGAGGTGGTATAAGTTGGTCGGAACGTGACGGGTCCAACAGCACGCCTATTTCGATGCGCATAGATCATTATCAAATGTCACAGTAGATTCGGCCAAAAAAATATCAACTTAAAATAATTTCAATTATTTTCGTTTAGTTCTCTGTTTCCAAAAAATTAAAAAAAAAGTTACTTTAGAACAATATTCTAAACAAACGCGCTTCACGTACACGGTCTTTGACACTCTCCTTGACACGATGACGTGTCAATGGTTTAAACAAAAAAAACAAAATGGGCTTGTTAACAACAAACCCGAACCGTGTTCCCTTGTCTACCCATTTGCTGTCAACCAACCATTCCAAATTGAAACCCTAAGCGCCTCCACCTCCCCTCGCCGGCGAGAGACCATCAAAATTTTTTTACTGTTTGTCGGGTGCATCGGACTGACGATCCAACTCCTTCGTCCCCCTCTGCCATCGACGACGACCAAGAACTCATTGTGCCGGGTACGTAAATCGAAGGCAGCGTTTTTGTAGTATTGAATGTATGGATTTTTTTGAATTTTGTATTCTTTGTTCATTGTATGGGATTTGGTATAATGTTCTCAAGTGTTGTAAATAATCACTTCATTCTTCTGCACTTTATGGTGGCTATAAATCTGCTTCACTTGCGATATCTCAGAAACTCCAACATAAAGAAAGGGGTTTAATAGAGTTCACCATGATTCCATGAATTCCTTTAACCTTTACCTTTTTCAACTATGGAGAAATTTTTATTAGCAATTTCAGCAGCCATCTAGGAAAAATATGTTTATTATTTCCCAAAGATCTACTTTCTGTTAATGTGATTTCATTTTCACTAAGTTGACGAAATCTGTTGAGTATTGGACAGAATCCACTGTACCGTGCCTGAATTTTAAATTTTGTTAGCTCGGCTATGCTTTATGGCATTAGATATGTTGTTCATATGAATGATATTTTCCCTCTTTTAGGTGCTATGGGAGTAAAGAACCGGAAAAAACAATGCCCAAAATGTGGCAAGGGCATCGAGAAGTGTATGGAGGCCTAGAAAACTACTAAAAACATTGGACGATTGTTCTTTTGATGTACTAGGGATTGTGGTCACTTAAAGTGGGAAGACGAAGATGACTCAAGTGACGACAATTTGCCTAAAGGGAAAACTTGAGTGAAATATCTGGAACAACGTGACCACATCTTCGCTCTCATGGAAGTTATGACACTTGAAGTTTTTGTAATCGGCTTGTTAGTTGTTTTATATTTGATATGCAATTTCCAAACATTTTGATGTTCAATGTTGTGGTAGTAGGCAATGTTGGAAGTGTTATGTGAACTTGTAAGTTTGACATGGAAGCTTCATGTATGTGATTTGGAAGTATATGTTCTTGATACAATCTGAAGAAGTCACAATGTGTCCAAAGCTCCAATCTGCTAGCTGGTTCATTGTCCCCATAGCTCCAACATAATCAACCGAATGCACATGGCAGTGAACAGATTGAGTAGAACTTGCAATGTTATATCGATTTTGGACCAGCATCCGAAAAACATCATAAAAAACAGAAAGAATATAAGAAAAGCAGACCTCCCAAAGAAGAAAAATTACTTAGAACAAGTGCAATTTGAATGACCAAAGACCCACAAATGCTACACTCGATATGCAACCATTCAACATCAACAACAAAAGTAATTACATCTCAATGTGGGCAGCAAGGAAATGTGCGTCACAAATCAAACCATTAATTCGAATTTACATAAAGATTTTCCATGGTTTTACATTCCAACAATTTCATTTCCTATCATAGAGCTATGAGAATGGGTTGTCACTTTCTACGTGTCAAGCTCGTTCAACTGAAGATTTTCCATGTTTCATAAACATCTGAAGATGCAGTTATCCTTGCCTTACAACCTGTCTGAATTTCTTTTCCCGCGACAACAGAATGGCCTAATTCAGCAAAACAATAACCTATCACATTTCAACCTAATTCATGTAGGTTCAGATTCGTAAGGCAATGTTAGCAAAACACAACCTTTCACATTTCCTAAGGTAACATTACTAAAATTCTGAAATGCATATTCACAAGAAAGTAATTTCAGATATAAATATTAGCAACCCATCACAGCTCAACACTACCAACAATTGTGAGAGTCAATGGAGAAATAAGGAGACACAAGATTCTTGGAGAAAAAAGGGGGAAGACTCTCACAATCTAGCCTCAGTTAGTGGAGTGACGTTGAGTGATCTTGGAGATCTAACTGTAACGAGTTCAAACCAAGATGATGATCCAATCGAGCCTATAGATTCTGAAAGATGAAATCTGCATTAGTTCAACAAACTCCAAATATTTAGGAATCCTCTGCTATCAAACTTCTTCAGTTACCAAGCTTTCAACGCAACAAATGAAGAGCATATCAGATTGTTAAACTAGAACCAAATTTTATGGGATTTCTGTTTTTATTTGATTTACAACTGAATCTTTGTATTTATATACTTCACCTATACAACCTAAGTGTTCACGTTGGCATTGAATAAAATCAGAGTATCATTTTTATCAGCTAAGTTTCTTTTTTTCTTTAATAAATACTTTAGCAAAAGTGCACAACCTTTCACATTTCACTGTAATTTCATACGTAGCTTCAAATTCATAAGGTAACATTACTAAAATTCTGAAATGCACATTCACAGGAAAGTAATTTCAGCTAGAAATTTCAGATAGAAATACTCAAGGGGAAATTGAAAAAATGGCCGATTTTACCTTTCTCCGCCATCCCTCCGGTCACAAATTGGGTGAAGGAACTATCTTACTCGACGGCAAGATTGCAGCTCACTATTGGTGTCTAAAGTGCGCGGGAGCTATTTTAAACCAAAAACGCCAGACGACTCCAGGGTTGTAAGGCACTGATCGACAGCTTGGACTTGGACGGCGCCGGGAAATTTTGCAGAAGATCTAAAGTGCGCGGTAGCTATCTTATACCAAAAATGCTAGACTACTCCAGGGTTGTAAGGCATCGGTCGACGGCTTGGACTTGGACAACGCTCCAATCTTCGACTTGGACGGCGCCGGGATATTTTGCAGAAGAGCACGTATAATCCCGCTATATGAACCTAAAATGGTTTATTATCACATTGGGCCGGGTTACCAGACCCTCAATCAGCCCTTTTTTTTCCCCCATTTCCCGCTCTACAGTAACAAATTTTTTGAATTAGTGTCAAGAATGGTGTCAACCAAAATGTACAAAGAGCATTATCCTATTCTAAAAGGTTCATTAAGAGCTTGTTTGGGAGGGATTAAAATCAGATTAAAATTGAAAATATAGCCGTTATTGTTGACTTTTATTAGACGGGTGGGACCCAA